AATTCCATCTGAAAGTCTGATTTGGGCTGAAATTCCAAATCAGGCCAAAAATTGAATTCTTCAAATCACAAACTCTGCATGTCAAGAAACCTCTCACTTTGATCCCGTGGCATTTTGAAGAAATAAAATTAATTTCTTCAATTCACAAAGTTTCAGTTTGACTCAACTTCACTGAGTTGAAACTGATTCCATCAAATGTTTGAAATTGGTTCCATCAAATATATCTTTTTATTTTAAACAGTGTGTATCACGTCCAGTGGCTTGCCCATTTGATCCATGCTAGAGAGCACATTTTTTTTATTAAGATATTCTCAAATGAACACTCTCATGGATGTAATGCACATTTAAAAAAAAAAAAAATTGGGACGTCTATTTCAAATATGAGTATCCATGATAATAATAATTGAAGTAATAAAATGGAACAAATATATAATGCTTCGTACCCCGTTATTTTTCATTGAGCCCTCTTTTGTTATTAAAATCAGCACTCACTGTGGACTATTCCATATTTTCATATAGCAATTTAGTAAGCATAGCTTACATGTCACACAAGGCTGAAAGCATGGGGAACCCAGTGAGGATCAAACTCACTACTCAGTCATAAGTGATCTAGCAGGACAAGTTTAGTAACCATTAATCCATGCTGAAATGCCCTCGGGTTTCGATCCTAGCTAGAGGCAACCGGATGTCTAGCCACACTGATGAGCTGTGAAACAGCGAAACAGTCTGTCTGTGGATGACGTTATATTGGCTCCTGAAATATCAATTTCAGTTGAACTCTCTGGGGACAAGGTGTGGGTTGGTAAACAGTGACTATTATAGCTATATAGCAAGACTCTTCGCAGATGCGAATTGAGTCACTGTCGGTCACTGGGCATGTTTCTAAAAATAAATACGCTAAAAAATTCACTTTCATCCCTACCGTGCGCCGACGGCTTAATGGTTAGAATCTCCGACTGACACCAATTCAGTTGGGTTTCGATCCTAGCTAGAGGCAACCGGATGTCTAGCCACACTGATGAGCTGTGAAACAGCGAAACAGTCTGTCTGTGGATGACGTTATATATATATATATATATATATATATATGCAGGGAACAGTGGGTTCTTTAACCTTGGTTGGAAGCCAGTCTAGGAGAAGGAAAACTCTGAATTCTAAAACTGAGAAGGTTTGTTTGGAGACCTTGTTCCCCACTTCTTGATATTTGGTTCTTCCAAAAAGTGTGGATGTTTCAGCACCAACCATCACCATTAAAATCAAATCAAATGTGTGAGTAGATTGGCTGTTCAGTTCTAAGAACTGAACTGTTGGATCCTCATATGTTGAATATATATATATATATATATGTGTGTGTGTGCGTGTTTGTATATGTGTATATTTTTGTATATTAACCCACACTGCAACATAAAAAAAGTAAACAAACCAATATATATACCAGTATATATATACACACACAATTATTTATTCGAAAATTATAACATGTTATAAAATCACTACAAAAATAGCCATTTTCAAAGAGCTTTATTCTACATTCAACACCATCAATTGATAAGACACCAGAAGTGTTGAAACAAAATGGTTATTTTTGTAGTGATTTTATATCATATTTATGTTATAATTTTCAAATAAATAATTATATTTTCTCTACTCTGTATGGAGGACTCTTTTAAGAATAGTATTTGTTGGTTATTGGAATTTATTCCATATACATCAATCCTATACTTGGAGATATATATATATATATATATATATACGCACACACACGTATATTTGGGCAGCAAACTTTCTTTAAAACATCTTTCATTAAATTAAAGAGTCAAAACATGAGGAAAAACTAACAGCAGCAAAAACAAAACTCCTTTGAAAATGACTGAAGTGTCTGAAAGTGCTTGGGACAATGAAAATTATAGAAAATATTTGTACTCCTTTACTCCTACTGAACAGAAAATGTAAGGAAACTGGAAAAACTAAATAAAATGAATAAAATCTTTGTTATATGTAACAATATATATATATATATATATATATATATATATATATATATATATATACAAACAACTGGCAAGGTAATAGGGTTACATTTTTTATTTAATTTTTCTTAGTGTTCTGCAATTTTTGGGGGGACATAAAGTATGTAGAAATTGTCTGAGTATCTGAGTGTTCTTGGCTATTTTTTTAACCATTATCAAGGATGATTTTATTTTTTGTCTTTTAAGTGAAAGTAAAATTAAATAAAAAACTTAACCTCAGTACCTTGTCAATTGTATTTAACTCATATAAAAGGACTGCTGACCAAATGCACTATATATATATATATATATATATATATATATATATATTATATATATATATACACCACATGTAACTGAAAATTGTCCATCTCACAAAATGTTTAATACCTAAAAAACCCAGTAAACTAATTGAGTTCTTTTTTCCAGGTTTTCAAATAAGACGTTTAATCATCTTGACATTATTTGTCGTAAGAATCACTGAAAAACCCATTGAGTTATTCAGCTAGAAAGAGAACACATTAAAATAGTTTTGTGTCAGCCCCACTGTCTTCCTAAATGAGCAATGGTGAGAGGAAAAAGATCACGTGGGCCTTCAGTAATGGTACCAACATTCATACTCTGGCCTCCATCTTCAAATCCATTCAAGAAACATCAAGAGAATGTTGAATAAGTTTTTAAAAAAAGGGAACAGTAGAGAAGAAAACTGGATCAGGAGGTCACAACAGGAACAGAGATCATCATTTCAACTTAGAGATAAAGAGATCAATTAGAAAAGATCCAACTCAATCTATAAGACGTTTGACATGTGAAAGAGGAGTTTCAGCTATGACAGTTCAATCAGCAGTGAAAAAAAACTTGAAACTGAAATCGCAGCTTGAGGTTAGAAAGCAAGGATCATCTTGAATAAATTGAAAAATGATCCTGGAATAATATATATATATATATATATATATATTTGAACTTTATATGAATCCTTCATGAGATTCCAATCCTTAGAAATAATTAATTAATGATGAACAAGTCATTTTCATTTATGATCATTTATGATCAATTTCATCATGATAATTCTGTTAAGCTTAGAGAGTAATTATACATTCTTATTGCTCAAAGTAGAGTCCAATAGTTTTATAAAAACCTTGGAAAAATCCAGTAAGATATCTTTAATCATTTCTAAGTTATAGTGGTTCAAAGCTTAATCTAAAAAAATGTACAATTTTGCTTTTACACCTGATATATATATATATATATATATATATATATGTTATGGTCCGGTTCCTTGTACCATGGTGATAATCCTAGGTAGAACCAATAAAGAAGAACTCGAACATGTATATGGAATAACACACATATATTACAAACAGGAATATATACAGAGAAGTAGAAAGTGTTAATACGAACAATCAGGTTTAGTAGTAATTGTCTGAACGCGACTCTGTTTCGGACTGCCTCTGACTCGACTGACTGACTTGCTCGCTCTCTTTGACTGACAGACTCCTGACGGAGTTCACTCCAGACTGAACTCCCTGCTTCCTCTTGAGGCACAGTATTATTTATTACGTATGGAATAGTTCATTATGTTATTATGGGTAAGGTCCCATAACAGTATATATATATATATTATAAATTAATTGATTTAAAATATGGTTTTTTTTTCGCTACACAGTTCCAACCATGTTTCAAAAATAGAAGCTAAAAAACCCCGAATTTAATTTTGCAATTAAATTAAAAGCATTAGTTCCATTTCATCTTCAAGCGAATTAATTTATAATATTAATGCTCTGTAAATTTACATTGAGCACTATTTTGTAAAAATAAAAATATCTATAAGAACACCGGATTTTATATCTTACTGTTCTTTCTTTTTATTTATATATATATATATATATATATACATATATATATATATATATATATATATATAGAGAGAGAGAGAGAGAGACATATACATGTGTATGTGGGAGAATATAGTATATAGATTTCTATATATCAGAACACTATTCGATAACTGATAAACAAAAATGAACAAATTTTATGAAACATGTTTCGCTCTCTAAAAGGACTTCATCAGACTAAAGTAATGATGGAATTATATATGTATTGGGTGGGGACTAATATGAATACAACTTTCGTTATAATTATGTACCAAGGCAAGGCTAGATTTATAGAATTGTCTGATGCATAAATTTATATATGCCTTATTTTTGGCACACTGGCAATTATATGGGTCATACAGAGTAAGACTTTCATATTTCCATTTATCTGTTTGCTTTGTTTTGATAGTTTTTTCTCCTGCATTTCTGACCTATGGATCTTTTTGCCAGATTCTTGCTTTCATGTGAACTCAAACCAGCAAAAATTTAAATGCAATATCAATCATCATCATCTGCCTCCTTCAATCCTGGTGGCTTTATCACCTTCCTTGGGATGAAAGGATTAAAAAAAAATCTTCTCTCTCCTTGAATCCTGTTCTCTTTATTGTCCTCGTTCTCCAGTAATGTGTTCTTGGTTTCCCTCACACTCAGTAAACCTTTGCATCTTAGTGGCTTTACTGCCTTCCTTGGGGGTGAAAGGATTAAAAAAAAATCTTTTGTCTTCTAGAATCCTGTTTACTTGATTGCCCTTTCTTCTTAGTAACATTTTCTCAATTTCCTTCACTCTCGGTAACCCCTTACATCTTGGAGGCTTTATCACCTTCCTTGGGGAGAATTGATTAAAAAAAATCTTCTGTCTCCTAAAATCCTGTTCATTCAAGTGTCCTTTCTCCTCAGTAATGGTTTCTTAGTTTTCTCTTACTCTCAGTAGCCCCTAGTGTCTTTATCACCTTGCTTGAGGTTTAAAAACAAAAGATGTGTTACAAGTGTGTCTGAGTGCCAATATAAGGTCAGGGCTCAAAGAGTAAAGTTTGTGCAAAATCCAAGGAGAAAAAAAAACAAAAAAACTTATGAACAAAAAAAAAAAAAAAAAAAACTAGAACAGATTATAACTTACAAATTAAAAGTATCCTCCCAAACTGGATTCAAGGTTGACTTTTCAGTCTTGGTTTTTTTTTTGGTTTTGTTAGATTCATCTGGAATAAGTTTTACTTTCACGTACGGATCGGCCAGTCCATTTGGATCCATTGGGACCAAATTCTTTGCTTCTTGAACTGAAACAAACAAAGAAGAATAAAGCCATCAACAATTATGCTAAGAATTTGTGTTTATAATTCAGTATTACAGAAAAATGCTGAATATGTGAGCAACGACGACCCTTTGGAGAAACTGGAAACGAAAAGGATACGGATACATAGCATCAAAACGAGGTCATTGAAATTTCTAGGTCTCATAAATTAGGAAAGAGGGCTTGGAAAATTTAACACAATGTAAGAAGGACAGAGGAAAGCAGTGCATAACGAGCTTGTGTAAATCGTTGGCAGAACAGGAATTAGGAGAGATGGTAAAAAAGACAAACTTTATTAAGAGGTATGAAGGAGTGGAAATTATGGTGTTCTATAATTGCCCATATGACCCGAGTTTCTGGCTACTTTTCTGTGACAAAAGTGGCCCCTCACATTTTTTAATTGCATAGGCCTGAAATATAGATCTTCCAGTTACTTTATTAATACACTAGTAGCATGGCCCGGCGTTGCCCATGCTTGATTCAAAAATCGTACAACTCATACAGCAATCACTATCACTTGATTTAAAAGATTTTTGCCCTTCCTTGCCTTTAAAGGAGTGCCCTTTGCCTTACTTCTTGCCTATCTCACACTGCAAATTTTTTCTAAGCTCTATACTAAACATTAAATCTGTTACGAAAAAAGAACTAAACAAAACGATCAACTTTAAAAAAAGGACTCATAACTGGAAAAACTGAATGAAAAAAGAATGTTAATAAATACTTTTTCACACCCAACCCAGTTCTGCAGAATCAGAATCAACGTTGAGTTTAAGCAAGCGAATGAGTCAATTGGAGTAAAGTGCCATGCAGATTTAAATTTTTTCCACTTGTGACAAATGCAGCTATCAAATTTTTTTGCATGGTAGCATGCTAGTTAACATTCATGTTAGTCAGCTGTTGGCTCTCATGCTGGCCAATAGAATCTTCCTGCCTATTCATGGCAGTAGAAAATGGCTGTAAACTACATGAAAACTGCCATAGAAGCATGAAAAAATTGATTATTTCCACTATCGATGGGCGTTGGGAAATGCAAAATCGGTCTTGGCCTTCCTGCTAACTTGGGGCATGTGCATGTAAATTTTGGTGCAAATCTGTTGAAAATCACGGCCATGCATTCAACACACACACACACACACACACATTCACACACATCCTGCCTTTTATAGATAGAGATAATAATTCTGAGGTAATCATTCTATTGCTTAATAAGAACAGAAAACAGATAATCCACTTTATATTCACTATAGCCTTGTTTTAATACTAATTTACTAACTTTTTATGACATATTTTGCTATAAGAAAGTTTACACATCGTAATTCTAGGAGAATCATTGACGCATTATTTTAGGTTGTCATGCACATTTTAATGGGTTTTATCTAAATTTGACGCTGTATCATAGGTTGTTTATTTGGAATTATTGCCATGTATTTTCCAAAATCAGTTATTATATTTGACGACATATAAGTTCTAAATAAGAAAAATTTACTAATGTTTACCTAAACAACATAGATGTGAAGTATTTGTATCTCAACTCCAAAATATTCTAATATTAAATATAAATTCTGAAGTCTTGTGTGTGAAGTTGAGGTATCTATCAGGCTGATATTTATCCAGATGCCATAGATTATATGTACTTGTACCAATTGCTACATAATATTGTAATATTAAATACAAAAAGGGAAGTCTTATATGTGAAGTGTAGTTATCTGGTAGGCCAGTGTTTATCCAGATGTCACAGACTACAAATACTTGTACCTCACCTAACATCATAATACTATAATGTTAAATATAAAAGGGAAGGTCTTTTATGTGAAGTAGAGGTTTTCTGGTAGGCCAATGTTTACCGAGATGCCATAGACTACTGCAAGAATTAATATAAATAGTAAGTCTTATTCAATCATCCCCCTGTTTGTTGATGTACATCCTTAATATTTTGGTTCATTCCACTTATACAGTTTCCTTCTTGTTATATGTTTTACAATTGCGAAGTGATACAATCATGCTAATAAAAAAAAAAAGTTTTAATGCCAAAAATTACCTTTTGTAATAATTCAAAATTCTTTAGAATTCTAAGGATATATTTCAAACCAACCGTTTTAATTGCTTCAGTAATATCTGCCAAAGGTCGGGTATTGGTTGGCTCTGCTCACATTTGTGTATTAATGCAGTTGAATAGACTCACCAAATAATAGCATCCATACTGGGAGATTATCCCTTAAAGCCACATTCAAGAAGTCTTCAGCTTGGGAAATAGAATGATGTTAAAATGCATGATTTGCTGTTTATTAGCATGTGAAAAACTAAATCTAACAAAATTGGATTAAGGTGAGTTGGGGTCAGAAAATGATGCGGTTGTAGTATTGGAATAAAAATAATGTAATCTTTTTAAATTATTTCACTTCAAGCAAAACAATAAAGCGATCAAGACGCAAAGAGTGGCTGGTATTAGAGAATATTAGAAAAAAAAACAATGGTAAAGAGAGATAATAATCAAAGAACAGGAATTAAGAAGACAGAAGATAGTGACTGAGATTACATTTAAATTCTCAAAATTGGAAAGCAAGAAACTGGGAGAGAGTTCCACAAGTGAGAAGTGCGACAGAAGAAACTATTAGCATAGAATTTCAACTGTAAAATGATGAGACCTTGCTGCCAATCTAGTACTGCAGTTAAATTCATAAAATCTAGGTATCATAGAGGGAGAGCGATATTTATTTTGATAATACAAAAATGTGGCACAAGGCCAAAAGTGAAGATAGAGTGAAGACAAACTTTCCTCTGTTTTATCTTAAACTTAACCAGCCATAATTACTAACCCAAACATATCACAGGATTCCTTACACAAAAATAATACATTCTTACTTACCATTCTTACTACAGTCATCATAATGCCGCAAAGTCTCTAAGAAGTCGTAACTAGTTTTTGATATGTCCAATTGTTAACTTTTAAAAATGAAACCTAATGAATATTTACACTGATTACAAAAGAGAAAAGTTCATCAGAATAATTAGCTTGAAAGTATTTGTAGAAAAGGCACAGAGAAGCTATGTTAGTGTTGGAAAAGTGGCTGAAGCCAAGACCACTGGCACTGAACGGGAATAAAAATACCATGGAGAAAAGTGGCTGAAGCCAAGACCACTGGCACTGAACGGGAATAAAAATACCATGGAGAAAAGTGGCTGAAGCCAAGACCACTGGCATTGAACGGGAATAAAAATACCATGGAGGAAAGTTCATCAGAAAAATTACCATGAAAGTATTTATAGAAAAAGGTACAGGGAAGCTATGTTATGGCAGTGGAAAAGTGACTGAATCCAAGATGCCAGGTCAAGACCAATAACATTGCAGATATTTTTTTTTGCATTTTATCAAGAATCTTTAAATATATTGTAGGAGCATCAGACCATATATGGCTACAATATTCAAAGCATAGGGTCAATGGTAGACTTGTAGATATGTAAGATAGATTCTGGTGAGAAAAATTGTCTAGCATGACACAGTGAATCAACTTTCCTAGCAGTAGACTTAGCAATTGACTCAGTATAATCTCTCTCTCTCTCTCTCTCTAATAATGTATCTAAAATACATTGCGGGTTATGAAAATGAAGGAAATGTTGTGTTTTAGCAGAGAATGGGAAAATGTGACACTGAAATCCGAAACTGCACTGGAACAGTTAAATATGAGGGGAACAGATACTAAACTTTGATCTCGACCCAATAATCAGGAAGTGAAGAAAAGCATCACTAAAGTAGCACTGGTTGCTTTATCAATAAAGGCTGAATGTTTCCTTATAAGGAAATGGTTGATATTACCATTACCATCAGAAATGAGTAGAACAGGTACTACACTTTGGTCCCAGTGAAGAAAAGTATAACTTGAGTAGCACTGCCTGTTTGAGCAATGAATGTCAATTTTTTTTTATAATAAAATGGCTATTATTACCATTGATGATGAGAAGAACAGATAATACACATTGATCCCAGTTCAATGGCTAAGGAGTGAAGAAAAGTCTAACTTGTGTAATACTTTCTGCTCATTCAATGAATACCAAATGTTTGCATATAAGGAAATGGCTAATATTACCATTAGGGATTAGGAGAACAGATACTACACTTTGATCCCAGCCTTTTAAGAAAATGACTAATATCACCGTTTCCATTGTCTGTGTGTCCACATAAACATGTGTACATATGTACGGACAATACTAGTCCATTTCAAGAATGAAGTATGTGAATACAAAAAACTATTCTTCCCTACTCATTTCTATTGTTGCCAACCTCTACACACACCTATTATTCTGGCAATGAATTGATCATTCTCTTCCCCACCCACTACATTTGCAGATTTGTCTGCAGAACAGTCAGCACTGCAGGACAAACAAATCAATTCTTATGCAGAATCACCCTTGCTGCACCTGCAATATGCATTAACAAGTGTAGCACCGTACAAATACACAGAATCGACAATCAAACATGTCAGGCAGCCTCTGCACATCACTATTGCAAGATGATGTTTACACACTCGATGTGGGTACACTCTGAAATAATCAAGTCGATCCTCAATTTTCTTTTTATAATATCTGGTGGGTGAAGCATTTCAGTTTATAAAACAATGACATATATGGATTAATTATAACTTAAGTTTTCAAGCAAATAGTTTAACGAAGGAGTAATGAATAGCGGCTCAGATTGAGGAATCGGAGAGCCAAGTTCGAATTCCAGTCGAATCCATTACATTCATTTATGTGCTAATCTCCTTGGGAAAGGTATGAATCCTCTTCTTCTCTCCCCCAGCTATGGGTAAATAGCAGGACAGACCAGGTTCTATAGCCTTGGATGGCAAATTAGTTGGAGATTCATCTCCAGCTAATCTAGTCAAACTCTCTGCTTTTGGACAGAGAGGAACCTAGACGAGGCTATGACGGTTTTTCCCTGCATTAAAAACGGCCTTGCGCCACATCCTGCCTCGCGGGGAAGTAAGGTCA